ATTGAAGAGAAATTATTATATGCAGTAAACAAACGGTGTTCAGAAGTGAATCAAGGTACGCTATGTCATTTTTTGATATATATCAGTGCTATTTACCGCTATGTTCTAGATGACGTAGTGCACTTTGATTCGCCTCTTGAACTTGCACATAATAATTTCTCATCATTAAAATTATTAATTATTGACTCAGAACTTGATTTGAGAGAGAGAGAGAGGGGTTATGTTATAAGCAATGTCATTTCACAGGAAGAATATTGTAAAAGCCTTTATCATAGTACGTTAGGTTTTATGCAGTAGATAGGTGACTGTTACAGAGCTTACCATTCGAGCTCCACCTCCTCCTATAAAAAAATTGAAGGAAAATGTTTCAATATAATATCAAAGCAAAAACCAGGAAAATGAATAAGGCTGGCTCATAGTTCCGGTTGGTGACAGAATTAAGGTCATTGAAAAGCTAGAGTTTCAGAGTCAGGAAGTTTGAACTCATTAAAGCTCACACTCACTACCACTATTACCAAGAAAAAGAAAACTTTATTGCTCTTATTTATCATTAATAATTGAATATATTTCTTAACAATAGAGTCAAATCAATCAAATAAACTTGATTTGATTTAATTACTTTATTTTAACCAAACATTGCACTGCCCTTCATACATGAAAAATTATTTTGTACGTATATCAGATCATTCAGAAGAGAATCAAAATGCTTCACGTCATTCAGTACGTAGCGGGCATACAGCCGTGGTACATAGCAAGAAAGTAACGTGTCGCGTTTTGATTCACCTCTGAATGATCCGGTGTCCGCACAGAATAGTTTCATCTTCATAAAAGAGAAATTATTCTGTGTGGAGTCCAAACAGAAACAACATACACTGTATATAGTATGTGTACAAAAATATGACATATACTACATACATTATATATGTACATTGAAAGTCCAGATAATAATTCCCCGTTCAAACTCCGCATAGAATAATTTATCTTCATACAGATACTTATAAAGGAGATTATAAAATAGTTAGGTAAACCGTAAAGTATTCTGATTTAGCATGAATATATATCTGCATGTCTATAATAAATTTAAAAAAAAATACATAAAAAATGAAAAAGAGAGAAATAAATTCGGTCCTGACCCCTGATAGAGATAGTACCACCTACTCTCTTCTCTCACTCCACTAGATGAGGGGAGGAGGAGGGAATCAATTATATCATCCACTGAATCATCTGAAAAAGCTTCTCTCTCTCTTTCTATGGGTGTGGATACCTCTGAAAAAGCTTCTACTCTCCGGTCCAGGTTACAATAAGTGCTGCCACCAGATGTTCTGAGAAGGACCTGAAATTAAAGAAGGAAAGAGTGGGAACTATAAATTAAGTAGAAAGGAAAGATGGATTATTTTTATCTATATATTAATGCATTTAAGTCTCTAACTACTGAAGATTGTTGCTCTTGATACAACAGGGATACAGCCAGACCAGAGGATCTGTAGGTGGAAGCTTAGTCATGATGCTTTATTTATTCAAAATTTTAATTATAGGTTAATACGTACATAATGAAGACCACTTAAATCTTGATTATTTATAAAACTAATATATTTTACCTTCATTTGTTAGTTATCACTTAAATATTAATCTTCATTAGATGTATTGATTATGATGTTAATATTCCATGTCACATCATTAATTTCATTTTATCTAAGATTACTAGTCCATTAGATGTGTTGACTCAATCTCGCATGAGGAGCTAAGAAGTTAAAGAATAAAATATGATTCAAGCGACATCTCGAATGAGATGCTATTCTCGAGAACTTCATAGTCAAAAGACTAAATTACGAGATTTGCATTAAAAAAAGCTAGATATTTGATAGGAGATCTTGTATAAGATAGACTCGCTAGGGATATTCGAATGATAGCATATCCAAGAAAGAATGATATTTTGTAGAGATTCGATCATAATTTCGATAGAATATTCAAGAAAGAAATAATGATAATTGTATTGATTAATGTGGTGGGACTCATTCCCTTTATAATTTTGACAAGGGCTAGTTTGCATCATATTGTGGGTCACTTATTGAGAATATCTTCTTCTTCTTCTTCTTCCATTAGGGACCACTCTTCTTGAATTAGGAATTGATACTAATTTTCATCATCTTTTGTCTCTTAAAGGCTATACTATTTTCATAATATAATTGCAATGGCAAAAAAAAAGCTATCTTAACAAGTAGACATGCCTCTTGATATAGCTGAAATTTGCTTGTTAATGTGAATATATTATATGGAATAGATTCAAAGCTTAAAAATCATGCAGCAATTGAGGTTATCTTATCTCAAAGAAAATAAAAAGAATAAGGAATATAGGTTTCAACAAGACTTTAATTTGTTCAAGTTGTAAGGAATATAGCTTTCTAGCAGGTTGTTATCAGAAATTCCAAGTCAAAGAGCCATTCAACCAAAGGAAAGGGGCCTCTCATAGTTCAAATAAAGGGATATTTAGAGCCGAAACTTCCTTGTCAGTTCCAATTTATCTCTGATTTGAAGTTTGTCTTCAAAGAATTATACTCTTGCTAAATAGAAAAAAAAAAATTCTACTGAAAATTCAGAGCATTTGAATTTTGGAGTTTGTGGTGCTGAGCTCTTTCTTTCCTCTCATCAGCTTTATGTTATGTGTATTACTTATCAATTTACTACTACATTTATTATGTTTGGAAAGAGAGAAATGATAAGAGATATAAGAATTCAACTTAGAATTGTTCTTCAATTTACTGCGGCATAAAAAGGGCTAATCATCTCAAAATTTCTAGTTGGAAGAATTATGGAGCTATGAAAGATATGTTTAATGATATTATATTGGAAACATTTTCTATATTATGATGACAAGATTGAACTGATGTCAATTGATAGTTCATTTTCTTCTAGGATGGCCTTTTGCAAAAACTAAACAAATTCATTTTCTAGGTTTTCTATATGCTTTTGATTTATTGTAGCTAACTGTAATGATCCTAATTTTTGCATGATGAACTAATTAATAACCTATTAATGATTCATAAGAAAATTTCTACAAGTATAAAAATATGTGTGGGAGCCTCGTAATGATGTGCTTGTAAGCATAGATGCACTATCCTCTCTATATTTTGAGTTCTAACATAAAAGTGTAGCGGCGCTGGAGTTTGGTGCTACAGTGCCAGCCTCTCGGGTTTAAGATAAGCAAGGGGAGCACCGTGGTCTAAAGCGTTGCAACGTTAGGTTAGAAAATTTAGTTTTTTAAGACATCTCAATCCACTCACACCCTCATAAATACACCTAAGCCATTCCCCTCCTCTATTCCTCATTGCTTGGCTAAGGAGGATAGAAGAAGGTAGAGGGAGATGATATAAAAGTTTGCCTATGTAGAATTTCATATGTTCTCCTAGTTATCAAAGTTATTTTATCGTGGTAGGTACCTCAAATCCTATTTATATGTCAATGATTTCGAGTTTAATTAGTTTTTCATCTCTCATAAATCTAATTAAAATGTATTATCTTTTGATATAGTCAACTTTCACCATGTAACTTTTGATATGTTTTATTAATAATTATTTTGCATATTTTGGTATGAACATCTTGTATTCTCATTGAATAGTTTTGCATGTATAGTATTTTAATTAAATTGATAATGATAGAGGTACATTGTAAATAAATTAGGACTATTGCATTGATTCGATTAGGGTTGACATAACATGCATATGTCACAACTCAAATGAACATGATATGGCATGCATACTAATATAAGTACACTTGCAGAAAACACATAATGATATTGCAATATTAAATTGATCTACATGTTAATTGATACATAATATATATGACATGTATTATAATTAGTAAGATATAAAATATATCAGTTGTGTGTACTTACAAGAAAGGTTGGCTAGCTATAGACTAATTCAAGTTGATTGGAGCAAAATACCCTATATTGGAGGGTAGACTGACGAGTTGAACTTTAAATTATGGGTTTGTGGAGTAATCTCAATACAAGATATAAGATACAATATATGAAGTTATAAGATGACAATATACACCAATGGACAAGAGTGACAACTCTTATAAAAAGCTAATTAACTAACATAATGATATGTTATGATATAACAAGATAAAATAAAATACCATATGATTAGTCGGATGTCTTGACTTGTATAATGATAGATATGATATTATATACATACAAGACATTACCCCACATGATTAGATGCAAGATACATGACATGCATAAGCCATACATAAGCTAAATGACACCTAATATGATACATGAACAAGATGCATAATGACTCTGATACAAATATAATTACATAATAAACCTGGTACATTAAGTGACACATGATACATATATAACATGATGCTAGATGCATAGTGTTAGATATTGGTAAGCATGAAACATAATATTTCCATTATGTTCACTTGCATAAATAACTAATAGACTCGAGTTACAATTGTGATCTTAAATAATTCCTATAATATTTTTTAAGTAGTCTTTTTTTCTTGATACATATGCTAGGATAGAACTAAGTCAATGATTATTAATGATTTTCATGACTATGATTCACAATTCATACAAAGATGCATACTAACATGATATCATTAACATGATTTGATAAGATACATTGTACTAGCATGATCTGAATGAGTATATTCATATTGCTTAACTTTTTTGATATTGTGTACAATAGTAGGTTCTAATGACCTACAAAACTTCTACTCATTGTATGATTTTATATGATTTTAGATAAGAGTGATGACCAATAGAGTGAGGCAAGCCATACTTTGGTAATGAGTATTTCTTATGTATTTTATATTTATTTATTTGACTTAGGGGTAAGAGATAAAAACATCTTTTAAATGATGCTCGCTCGAATTTCTTAACTGCCATTTTTTTTTTTTTTTTAATACTGCCCTCAATTTTTTTATTTAAAAAATTACATTTTAAGTAATAGGTATATAAATTACACTGTGTCGGCGTTTTAACCAAATCAAAGCACTTTCCTTCGGCCATAAGCTGCTCACGTGGTTTTTGTGTGCCGATCGTCTGTAGTAATCTTCGGCTCTTTCCCCGCCACCTCCCTAGTTTTATTTTCTACTCTCAGCTCTTGCCGAGCTCCTTTCGCCTCTCTCACTCTCTGTCTCTTGCTCTCTTTCTTCCCCTATGGCCTCCGGCGAAGCCGCCGCAGAGCCTCTAAAATACAAGGTACTTTCCGACTCCTTTTCCCCTTCTCTCCTTCTTTCTTCGATTATTTGTTCTTTTTTACTGCTCTTTCAGTTGCAAATATGATTTTTTTTTTCTTTTCAAAAAGTTCTTTTGTTTTTGTGTGATTTCAGACTCTAGCTTTGAAGGTTTCGATTCACTGCGAAGGATGCAAGAAGAAAGTGAAGAAGGTTTTGCAAGGCATCGAAGGTAAAGTTTCGAAACCCTGATTCCCATCTCTTCTCAATCTATCAATTCCTTCAATTTTTTTCTTATCAAAGTCGCTTTTTTCTTAATCTCATTTCGGAAATCATCCAAAACCTTTGGCCATTTCATGGAATTTTTCACAGGGGTTTACAAGACGACGATCGATTCCCAGCAGCAGAAGGTCACGGTGACCGGCAACGTTGAGGCCGATACACTGATAAAAAAGCTGGTTAAGTCGGGGAAGCATGCCGAGCTCTGGCCGGAAAAGAAGCCCGCTGGACAAAACGCTCCTGCCGGTGGCGGCGGGAAGAAAAACAAGAAAAAGGGCAGCGGCGCAGCGGCATCTCCTGGGAAGTCCGATGAACGGGATAATAGCCAGTCCGCTTCAGACGTGGAAAATAGTTCATCTGCTGAAACCGCCAAATCCGACGGCGAGCCGCAGAATAACAGTGGAAATGAGACAAAGAAATCCACTAGCAAGGTCGACTCTGGTGCCACTGCATCCCCTACGGAGAAACCCGCCGGAGATGAAGCCGAAAAACCCTCTCCTGGCAGTGGCTCCAAGAAAAAAGGCAAAAATTCACAGACCAACGCTGCACCCGGCGGCGGCGGTGGCAGTGTGTTCGAAGGTAAGCAGGGGAATCAGCCGCAGAGTCAAATTCCGGTCCTTTCCTACCATATTCCGGCATACTCAACTCAGCCTCCGGCATACGTTTTGAGCTATAGCACCGCGCAGCCTGCCTCTAGCTATGGTGGCGCCGCCTACTATCCTTCCGCAGTGCACCATAGCAACTATATTTTCTCCGGCCACCAGGCTCCAGCTGGTACCCACTATATTCCTGCAATGCCCTCTGCGCCGCTTTCCTCCGACATGTTCAGCGAAGATAACGACAATGCTTGCACTGTCATGTGACCGCCGGCGAACGGATTCCGGCGACTGTCAGATATATAAATATATATATAAAGTAAGTATCTTTGTAAGGATGAGTTGGCTATGTATGGTAAATTGGTGGAACAGTTGAAGCTTTGGAGGTTTTGGGTCTTGTGGCTTTTTTTGCTGTTAAGCTTGAGCATTAAGGAATAAATATGCTTTGTCCCATTTAGTGCAAGAAGCTGTCATATTGATTAGATATCTGTTTTGTTTTGTTTATTTTGTGCTATTTAGCTTTTGGTAAAGTTTGTTATCTCTTGTCATTATCTTTGAAGTTGTTATGTCAATTGGCAAATGCTTGATATTTGTAAATGGACCTCATATTATGTGAATATGGTGAGAGATGCTTTGTTTGAAAAGCTCTTTTTCAAGTTGTTGGCATTATGAAGTTAATAATATTACACAGTTTGATTTGTTGGTTAGGAGTTTAGGCTACCGATTAAAAGGTCTTGAGTTCGAATCTTATGTATTCGATGTGTTTATGTGTCTGTCTTAATTGGTCTAAATATCCTAAAAAAAGTTAATAATATTGGTATTTGAATGAGGGGAGAGTATTTTGATCAATTGGCCATTAAATAAACTCTAAAATATGCATATTGAAGCTTGGACATTTGAGCGAGGGCGTATCAAGGCAAATCATAACAAATTAGTGAGCTTTGTTGACATTTCAAGGTCTTAAGGAAGAGCATTGACCTTCTATTGGGTTGTCCTATTGCATCCCAAGGTCAATCAAGTTAATCTTGATTAGAGTCAACTCTATATGCTTCCATCAATTCATTGAACTCTAATTATTCCATGAAACTAGTTCAATCTATGTTTACAAGAATCAACCAAAGGTTTATTCAAATTACTTTAAGTCAATCAAATTTAATTTGCTTAATAACATATCCAAGCTTTTTAAGTATGATTATACTCTAATCAGACAGGCGAACAATCTAATCTAATTACTGTTAAAGCATCAAAATGATTTATTCAAACTTGATCGTTTAAACACTTATTTGACCTAAAGAGCGCAAATACATAAAGCCCATAACTCACATAATTGATCAATCATCCCGAGCCTAATAATAATTTTTTTATGTAGATCTTATCTAAGTTTATCTAATTCCCAGTTGAACTCTACAATATGTTTAGCTAAGGAGAGTCTTAATCCAATACATTACTCTACATTAGTTAATTGAGGGTACTTGTGCCTATTAGGGTGCACGTAAACTTGCACTCACTAACTATTGACCAATTTCATGCTAGCTTAATGTTAGTTAACTTGAAGAAAATATAATTTGTCATGCTTGTTCTTGAGGTAGGTTAACTTAATTTAAGTCATAATGATTAATTATAACAAAATAAAATATCATATAATGCATCCAAATCAAATTCTAAGTTTATCTGACCTGAGCCACATTCAATCTAACATATACAAGGTATTATAATTTTCAATATTAAATCCATGCCTAGGTTCATGGGCCTTTTTGGCTAGGGCATAAATTAAACTATAGATAAAATAACTCACATCAATAGTGTTGAATCTTGATTGGTCCGGTGGATGATACCGAGCTTATGACCTGAGGACATATAGGCGAGGATGATATAGTCATAGAGATAGAGAGATGGATCTAGATAGAATATTTATTATCTAAAAAAAAAATATAAAAATAAATGGAATAACGAGGACTCTATTTTGTAGAGCTCAAGCAGAAAAAAAAAACAATGTTTATCTATGCATCTCTCTCGATTTTTGTCATCTCTCTCTCTCTCTCTCTCTCTCTCTCTCTTTCTCTCTCTCTCTCTCTCCCTCACAACCTCCCCCCCTATTTATAGAGCTTGGGAAGTTACAATAGAATATGTATGGAATACAGGAGTTTTACTATCAGTTTTGATATAGCTTGGCTTGCTGTGCTAAGTGGTGTAGCGATCTTATGAGTTAGGATGCAGGTAATGTGAACCTGGGGAGTTTGGATATCAAGCTGGCGCTGGGTAGGAATATAGTCTGATGTTGCTCTACTAAAGTGAGAGGGGATGAGTAAGGACTTGATGTATATCCCTAAGCTCAACAACAATTCGATTATGAAGGATCTCATGTGGACGAGATGTGTGTCTTTTGTAATAGCCTATATTTTTTTCCAATCAAATATATTTTTTAGAGTCATCATAAGTCAAATTTGTAAATCGTCTTCACCATAATATAGATATTATTATGCTTTAATTGTAATAAAATTTTTCTAATTTTGGAGGAAGTGTTAAAAATTAAAACAAGAGGGTATAAGTGGATTTTTGTGATCGTTAGATGTCCATTTTGCAAACTAATTTCACCAGAATTTTTTATACATGCTTAGTTAAATTATGAATATTTTATATAATTTTTAGAGCTCCAAATTTAAAAATATAAAAGAATTTATATAAATTTTACACTAAAACATAATAATTGGCATAATTACATTCAAATCCTTAAGAAATTTTATTATAAAATATCCTTATCCATTACATGAATCCATAAAATCTATTTAATTTTTTTTTATTCCTCAAGCTAGAGAGTAGAAGAGAGGGAAATACAAGAAAAAAGAGAGAAGAGAGTAAATAAAATCTAGGGTTTAAAAGTCATAGAACAATTTTTATCTATTGGTTTAGTTGAAAAATTTGCTCGTCTCAAGGTATGCTACCCTTACCCTTCCTCTAATTTCAATGATTTTGTATATTTTTCTTTTTATGAGTTTTAATTTGGTATGAATGTATAAATGTTATTATATCTTAATTTTTAGCAAACTTTCGTCATATAACTTTTGGTATGTAATATATGTCGTTAATATGAACATTTTGACGGGAACATAGTAAATTTCACTGGTTATTTTATATTTTGGAGGAAATATTCTAATTTAGATAATTTGGATAAATTTATAAATTTGAGAAATGATTATTAAAATCTTTTTATATATGTATATGACATGAATGCAAGTTATAATATAGCTATTATGAATACACATATATGAAAAAGTTTACTCCATATTTTTGTTGGAATTTTACTAACTTTGGTGCATATACAAATTTTACGTACATTAATATGATACAACAACAACGACAACATCAAGTCTTTGTCCCACTACGTGGGGTCGTCCTGTTTCCTCCAAAGCTACTAGAATCCTTTTTCACCATTATGTCATGTTAAAAGTCAATTTCTCATTTAAATCTAATAAAGAATGATCATTTCTAATATTCTCTAACCAAGTATTTTTAGGTCTACCTCTATCTTTCTTAACATAAGTCAAATCTAATACCTCAACTTTCCTAACTGGGTCATCAGAAGGCCTCCATTTAATGTGACCAAACCATCTAAACAGACTCTCTCTAATCTTATCTTCCAATAGAGCTACTCCAACCTTTTCACGTGTATGCTCATTTTGTATCCTATCTATAAGAATAAAACCACTCATCCACCTAAGCATCCTCATCTCTGCAAGACTTAACTTAGTGTTATGCTTCTCTTTTAATGACCAACAGTCGGCACCATAAAGCATTGCATGTATCACCACCATCTTATAGAATTTCCCTTAAGTTTGAGGGGGACTTTTCTATCGCACAACAAGCCCGATGCATTCCTCCACTTCAACCATCCAACTTGAATTATTTCGATAATATCTATATCTACTTCACCATCACTTTGAACAACAGATCCAAGACATCTAAAATGTGTACTCTTATTAATGACTTGATCACCTAAAGTCACAATCCCCTTACTAGGTCTATTGCTACTAAAATTATACTTAATATATTCATTTTTAGATCTACACAAGTGAAAACCTTTAGACTCTAAGGTTGACCTCCATAATTCAAGTTTACCTTCAACTCCCTCTCTAGTCTTAGCAATAAGAAGAATATCATCAGCTAAAAACATACACCAAGTTACATCCTCTTGCAAATGTCTAGTGAGAACATCCATGACTAAAGCAAAAAGATATGGGCTTAAGGTTGATCCGTGATGTAATCCAACCGAAATAGGAAAATACTTTGTCAAACCACCTATTGTTTGAACACAGGTAATAACTACTACTTACATATATTTAATGATTTGAATAGAAGCATTATTAACTCCTTTCTTTTCAATAACTCTCCATAGCACTTCTCTTGGAACTTTATCTTCTCTAAATCAATAAATATCGTATGTAAATCCTCCTTATTCTCTCTATATTTCTCCATCAAACCTCTCAATAAATGTATGGCTTCCATAGTAGACCTACTCGACATGAATACAAATTGATTTTGAGAAACATTAGTATCATGCCGCAACCTACGCTCCATAACTCGCTCCCATAATTTTAAAGTATAACACATTAACTTAATTCCTCTATAGTTCGCACACTCTTATGCAACACCTTTATTCTTAAAAATAGGAATTAACATACTCATTCTCCAATAATTTAGAATATATTTAGTCTTTATAACAATATTAAAAAGTTTAGTAAACGAAGAAATTCCTTCATCTCCTAAGCATTTCCACATCTCTATTGGAATATCATCTGGTTCAATAGCTTTTTCTTACAACATGTTATTTAAAATCTCTCTAACTTTGATTTTACTAATAGGTCATTAAAAATAAAAGTCTCTATTTTTATTTAGGGTGCTAAAGTCACTGAAGTCAATCGTATTTTTACATTCTTCATTAAAAAGTTTAGTAAAATATCTCATCCACCTTTGTTGAATATCATCTTCTTAGAAAAGTATTTTTTGATCTTTATCCTTAATATACTTTACTTGAACTAAATCCTTACTATTCCATACATTAACATGATATAGTGAACTAAACATTAAGTGTGTTATTAGAAGTATATATATTATATATATATTACTCATTTAGATTTGCTGGAAACATGTTACCTTATATAGGAGGATGAGCCATGGACTTTCCTTTAAAATAAGGTGTATGATGTAATCCTAAATGATATGAAAGGGAGACATAAGAAGACAGATTGACATGATATGATTAGCTGACTCTTAGGAAGAGATGTCTTAGCTTCTGATATAAAAGCCACATGATCTAAATAACTTGATTCTTATAGAGTTGGCCTACATGATCGAATATAGGAAAAATACCACATATAGTTAATTTATTTTATATTGCTTGCATATGCTTATGACAGTAATATATGTATGACAAATTATATAATTGACATGACATGATTTATATAAGATACATGCTATGACTAATACAAGTATTTGATAAGACTAATATAATTGATACAAAGTGATTTGATATATATGAACCATATGATTGACATGATGTACATGCTTATAATAGACAATGTACGACATACATATAATAATAAAATGTCTATTGATGTAATAAGATGCTATATAAATTATTTTATAACTGATGGATATAAGATTTATAGAACTTAATGCTCACTATTCACTTAATTACTAATCACTGCTCTTAAGATATACATTTATACTGATATTTATTGATCATATGATATGTTACTATTTCATTAATTGCTATATGCTATTACAATTATATGTTTATACATATAATGATTGAATGATTACATGTATATTTTTTGCATTAATTTCAATTGTAGGTCTTGGTAACACTACAGGAAAATCACTGATTTCCGGCGGAATTTTCCGGCGCATTTCCGACGGTTTTTTCCCAAGGAATTTTCCGGCGGCTTTTAAAAATTTAATGAAAATGAATAAATTTTTTTACTAGTTAAATAATTTGACAAAAATTATTAAAACTTATATTAACAATTTAATTAATTTTCATTTTAAAATTAATTATTTAGTTAATTTTTATTTTATATTAAATATTATTTTTTATTTTAAATTAAATAGTTTCATTTTTAAATAATTAAAAAACTAATTGATTGTTGGTCTGACTATACTTTAAATAAAATATATTGACAAAAATTGCGTATTTGCATAATCGGCAATTCCGTCGGATGCTTGAAATTCTTCACGAAGGACCGCGGTTTGAATCTCACGGCCGACGCAGCGCGGTGAGAGAGAGAGAGAGAGAGAGAGAGAGTTCTCCTTCCGCATGACCCAAATATTACCCGTGAGATATCTGCAAGAAGGTACTTGCACAAGCAGTCATGAGTGTACATATAACTTGTTTAACCATTAAATGAGGATAATTTATCTAGTTGGTGAAAATGATAAGATTCTCTTAGTTAACCTAAGATAATAACACTATTTTTATTAAATTGTAGGTTATGCTAGTATTATTTAACTCATAATATCCTTTTTGGTATTGCATAAACATGCATTGATTTATGAATGGGATATATTACTTATTATTATGTTTTCAATAATGACCAACAATAATAACAACATCAAGCTTTTGTCCCACTACGTGGGGTTAGCTACATGAATCCTTTTTCTCTATCATGTCATGTTAAAAGTCAAATTCTCGTTTAAATCTAATAAAGAAAGATCATGTCTAATATTTTCTAACGAAGTCTTTTTAGGTTTACCTCTACCTTTCTTAACATAAGTCAAATATAATACCTCTACTTTCCTAATCGGTTCATCGGAAGGCTACTGTTTTATGTGATCAAACTATCTAAGATGACTCTCTCCAATCTTATCTTCCACTGGAGCTATTCCAATCTTTTCACATATATGCTTATTTCGTATCCTATCTCTAAAGGTAAAACCACTCATCAACCTAAGCATCCTCATCTCTGCAACCCTTAACCTAGTGTTATGCTTCTCTTTTAATGACCAACATTTGGCACCATTAAACACTGATGTTGCCAGGTTCCAAGTCCTAGATGAGAAAAGTGGAGGGTGACATTACATAGTCGACAGCCAGCGTAAAATTTATCGAATAATCATGATATGAATCCTTTAAAAAAATTGTGTTTAATAATGACCAATCATCCTTAATCACTTTTTATAAAATAATTAGCAATATCTAACACTACAGGAAATGTACAATTTTCGGCGGCAAGGTCTATCATAAACCAAAGCATTTCCATCAAAATTTACTTTTTATCATTGGAATAATTTTTCCTGGTAAGATATGCGTCGGAAAATGGTTTCTAGTGGAATAAATTCATGTTAGAATAAATTTCCAACATATTTCCAGTGGATTAGAATATCTTGATATTCAGAGTGTATCTTTATGTCTTATCATTCATGATTAAGCAATCTTAAGTTAATTTTAGACCATTATGAGTATTTTAACATTTAATAAAAATGTAGAAAACCTAATTTTTATGATATACATATTAATGCATATAATTAATTATCATATTATAAGTGAATGATAATATATTTTCAATATTATAAATACTTAAGAAAAGGTCGGAGTAGCTCCAAACTCTAGTGGAAGATAAGATTAGGAGAGTCATCTTAGATGGTTTGATCACATAAAATGGTTGCCTTTCGATGATTCTGTTAAGAAAGTAGATGTATTAAATTTGACTCATATTAAGAAAGGTAAAAGTTGACCTAAAAGGCCTTGGTTAGAAAATATTAGTAATGACATTTTTTTATTAGATTTAAATGAGAATTTAATTTTTAACAGGACATTATTGAAAAAAAGATTAATGTAACCAACTCCACATAGTAGGATAAAGACATAATATTGTTGTACTATAAATACTCAAGAAAGACAATTATGTGGGTAATATAACCTATTAAGGCGGAGCAACAGACTTTCCAATTATGGTTATGTGGAATAGATATCCTCATTTAGTTTAATAGCAATAATAATTTCGCTTGGGCTCTATTGAACATTTTGATTTAGCCTTCATATTGGGTTTTGATCCTATGATATGTTGGCGGATTTGATGCAGTCGATTATGTTATAATAACTAATGAACAAAGATATTTATGCATGACATATTTTAATGCTAAGATAAGATAATGTATGTTAAAAAACAAACAAAACAAGCAAATGAATATCATTAAATAATTAATTATTTTTTAAACTTAAATAAATAATTAATTATGTTGATGCATGCACACATGCATGATTAGCATATTGCATGTTTTAATTGGATATTTAACATTTCTTTTAAAATTTTCTTCAATATGATTACCTTATTTGGATACTTATTATACTACTTATATATATATATATATATATGAGACATAATATTCAAATAATGCAAAGCATAAAAATGAAAATGTTGAACATTAATAGAGATTAAGATTTTATTTAAGATGATTTTTTTATTACTTTCAAAATAACTTTTTAGTACAAAATTTTTTAATTTATACTTTAAAAAGCAGTAAGAAAGTTGTCCCAAATGAAACATAAGACAACACTTTATTCTCTTCATATCACAAAATAGTTTATCCCTCTCTATATATATTTACATAATAACTATTATAATAAGAGGAACTTATATTGATAACAAAAATATTTATCAACTCATAACATGGAATTTTTATTTGGTCTAGTATCCTGGCGTAGCTCTATATTCGGACGTCAGTAAAATTATGCAACGTGCCCTTACTCTTTACCGCGCGGTCTGACGACCCGGACCGGACCCGGGATTGCTATGTATTGGCTGATTTGTGCAGACGGGGGTATTGCTAGGTATTGCTCGATATTCCTCGACAATAACGAGAAATACCATTATGTGAAGATCAATACTAAGCAATTCCCCAGTTTTGCTAGGTATTGATTTTGATAGAGCGGTATTTCTTGTTATTGTCAAGCAATACCGAGCAATACCTAGCAATACGCGAACATAGTAATACCGGTTCCGGTCTGGGTCGGGTCGTTGAGCCGCGCGGTAAAAAGTAAGAGCACGTGGCGACATGTTATTGGCCTCCGGATGTAGAGCTACGTTCGATGTCCGAACCTAATAATTGTTCTATAACATGATGTAACGGATCAATCAAATTAAATTTATACATGTCATACATAAAATTTGAACTCAGAATTTATTAATTAATAGATAAAATTTTTAACCAACCGATCAAAAAGAGCTCAGCCAATTTTTTCAACTAACCAAATTTTTTTTTTTCATATTTTCGTGAAAATAAAAAAAATTCCGAAATACCCGCCATCCTTAAGCAGTCGATTCGACCGTACTGCATCAAACTTTCCCGCTACAGGAAGAGATCGAAAGCCCTAGCAAAAAAATATCCGATTTAGGCCTCTTCTTCGGCGTCCCGGCGGAGGGGGACAGCTGCGGTACCCCAGAGCTCGCTTGTCGACGTCGAAAGAATTCGCTGAAGTCTTTAGCCCCGATCAAACCTCTTTCGCACCTCTAAACGCTTAGCGAAATCTCCTGGTTCTGTCCGAAGAGCATTACCTTCCGAGGTTGTCTGTCGAGGATTTCATGCGGGTGAGTTCTCTCGCTGCTTCTCCATTTCTTGTATTTATTAGTATGGGATCTTGCTCAAATTTATGCTAGATTTGAGCTTACATTCATTGGAAACCCACATTTTGTTTTCACGGGTTAGTTGGCATTATGCCGACCCATTTAATCGGGACGGGCTTACATCCATTTTAAGGCTCATAAATGAGACTTACAACCTTAAGGAACAGAAAACTCAATAATGGGTCTTATAACTTGAAATAAGAGGTAAGGTGGCACAATTTGTTTAGTTTGACGAGTTTGTTGGGTTTTTTTTTTTTGGCTTTTTAATTTGGACTAAACTTACATTTGTTAGAGAGCTTACATAGGGAAAGTATTTTGATTTGTTATTCTAAAATTTAAGAGGAGCATTGGGACTTATTACTTTGTTTGTTAAAGATAATTAATTTGCCGAGATCTATAACATTAGGTTTTAGGAGTTATGACGCTAGTCTTGTTGTTTTGAATGTAAAATGACATGCGAGGATGAATATCTATCTTGTCCCATAGACAAGACGTCCCAAATAATGGGTCTTATGAACTCCTAGTCTATGTAAGGTGGCCAAGAGTCCTTGTCACGATTTCCTCATTTCATTGTCGTCAAGGGTTTAAAAAATTGGATAGGAACGACGATGTTGGCGAGATCCCGTTTAGCCTCCTCCAACGAGTTTCTATCATGACTTTCTAATTTCAGCATTGTCAAGGGTTTTAGAAGCCGCATAAGAATGGAAGGAAGCAGTTTTGGTTGGTGTAGTCGGGTGTGGGGTTGGGTGAAGGGGTTAAGTGGCATGGTGAGTAAATGAAGGAGGAGAGGTGTGTGCAGGATCTGCAGGTGATGAGGAGGTGAGGCATTCGTTTGGTTTGTGGGTAGTGAGAGGAAGAGGAATGGGGTCAAGGGCTTTGGTATGAGAAATTGATGGGGAAAGGGAGCAATGTATGGACAGAAGAAATGAGGAAAATATCAAAAGGACTTGTGGCTTTTGAAGTTCATTAGATGGGAGAGGGATATGAGCTTTGTGACTATCTTTTGGGGAAGAAGCGAAATTCGTGGGTTTGGTAGTTCCCAGAGAAATTGTGCATGGGAATGAGGAAATAATCACAAGGGATATATGTTATAATAATAATAATAGGAGTATAATGATATTAATATTGAAATTAATTTTATAATTTTGTTAATTTTTATATTTGAAATGGTTTTTTGTATATTGATCCTTTTTTGCTAAATTCTCACGCCCACATAACTCAATTTATGTTGTCATCTTGCACGTGAGTATTTCATGTTTCGCCTTCGTGTGGTGTGTAAGGCAAGAGCCTTTTTTATGGAGGTTTTGATGCTGCAGACTCATCGAAGAAGTCCTTTTTGTGAAATTGGCGACGATAGGGTGATTTTATGTGGTGTCGTCTTTGGTCTTTTTCATTTTGGTCACGGTTGGTTGAATTGGGCGTGTGAATTATTCATTGATAATTTATATGCTACAGATACATCGACACAGTCCATTTACAAAAGGAGGGATGGTTAGAAGATTTTGAATTTGCATTATTCATTTTGAATCAGCTTTGCTTATTTTATCATTTTATATATTAACATGTGATGATTCATAAGGAACTCGTAGAATTAGATGAAGAGTTGAATGTCACATTAGAATCACAGGAGAAACATGTGGCATCATGAGTATATCACTTAATCCTGCTAGAAGTATATGTATGCCATTACCACCTAGTAAATCATCATTCGTACTCATCAAAACATGCACCTAGTAACATGGAGAATTATCCATAGGCATCATGTATGTCATAGGCAGCACAGGGAACCTAGTTTGCCTGATGAATGAAAACATGTAAGATTGAAGTAGGATCACATAATCTCGGTGTAGGATTACATATATACCATCATGGATCATGTAGGAACATAAGCATATCATGGGATCTAAGGATTCACCATGCTCTACTACATGTATGTTTTGTCACATGTATACCATCATGAGAGCATGGTCAAAACCATCTCCACATCATCTTATTGTAGAACACATGGTGAAGCAAAAGAAAACATAGGGAAACATTATATGACTGCATTTCTTTCATCAAAGCGTGGTGGAAATCTACAAGCATGCGAAATGGACACTATGTAGAAATTTCATTTGTGAGGTTGTTGCACCCTTGTAGTCAAACATGGCTTGGTTGGTGGAATAACCAAGCTCAAATTGCTTTGAAGTTCCTCTTGCATTAGGTGTGTTGAAGTTATTAAAAATATTTATGCTGAAGATCTAATTAGTATTAGCAGTTTTGGAATATAAAAAGAATATTCAATAGAATATATTTACATCAATGATCAACATTAAGTCCATAACTTTTTATGTCGATTATAACAATGTTTAGAAAGAATGCTTAGAGTGTTGTGCCTTGTTGCATGTTTTTCAGTAATGACATATTGGTGAGATATTTACTGAAGTAGAAGTTGAAATAATGCTGGTAATATTTAGTGGATAGAGAGGTTTTGAAGAGTGCAAGTTTAGTGAATGTGATACTAACATTTGTTGGTAAAAAAATATCTTTAGGTAAGGAGACACTTATGTGTGAAAGTTTTGAATATCATGGATTTATTATATATATATATATATATGAGTTTGAATATAATGAGTGCCTAATTTTTAGAGTTAACATGAGTGCCTAATTTTTAGAGTTAACATTGAGTGTCTTGGAGTATTACGTGATAAGGTGATATTATGAAAAATTAATGCTAAATATAAAATTGTAATTAGGTTGGCTATGATGTATGGATCAGGGCAATAGACAATAAAAATTATTGATAACTAAGTTGAATGTGATATGACTCGTCATGTTAAAAGGTGAAAAGTTTCTCTTTGGAATTCCTGTGGATGGATTATTTATGTTTAATTTTAATTGGATAAAAGCAAATTTTGTTTATCATTAAAACCAATGTATTGCATTAATTCAAATGTAAATACTAGATGCGATAGTGAATGATTATATTAGAGGAATGTTTGGATTAACATTTATTGAAGGTAAGTTAATTGTAATAGATTTAGGTGGTTTGGACATGTATGAAAAAGGGTAGAAAGTTCACTATTAGACAAATATATAAAGACAACATTTGAGAACCTGGTTAGACTTAACACAACATGGATTGAAGTTGTTTAAAATGATTTGCAAAGAAAAGGTTTACCATCTTAGTCCATGCTCAACATGAATGGATGGAAAATGAGGATTTATAAGGCCCAAGTATAATTATTGTAAGGCTAATGCTGATGATGCACCTAGTTCATTAATTTTATAGAAAGGGGCCCAAAAATACAATATATTCAAGAAATTTGTGCTACAAATCTAGAAAATTGCATTAGTATCCTATAACAGGCTGTTGTAAAATGATATTTTCTCTAAATGTTTTAGTATTTAAAATTTAAAACTGGAAAAAATATAAAAATTTTAAACCTCGTAGCACATAATTGGGGCCAACATGATTAAGATATCCTTTAGTGGTGTGATTTTCACACCCCGTAGCACATGATTCAATTTTGAACGTACACCATATTGCCTTTGATCTACTTAAAGTGGCATAAAAAGCCTTCAAGCGCACTTTTGTTGACTCCCAATCAATAAAATAAAGTTATAGTAGAGTTTGAACCTCAAAACACATGCTAGGAAACTAGGAACACAAAATTGTATCAGTAATCAATCCTTGGAAATGATGACTTAATGTACTGAAAGACAATGAGTTATGTGTACACCATAACAGTACGTTATTTCATTTCATTGGATATAAATGTATAAAATGTACAAAAATGCATGCAAACGCCCTAGTGCACCCACCTAAAGTGGTATACACCAAAAAAATGTACACCTTATGGGATAAAATAAAATTAATTAGTTTTATGCCATATAGGCTTCATGCTAGCTCAATTAATATCACACCAATAAAATGTACATGCTTGTGTAAGCTTCATGCCACCTTAAATAATATTAAGGCAACGAAAAGTACATGCTCAAGGTCTTCCATTGCTAGGGTAATCCAAAGAAAGTTAGTTTACTAATGATTTTGCTTTGCCTTGTCTTGCTTCTGACTTAATGTTGGTCATGCCCACTACCTTTGAATCACAATTGGCCAAGCTTCATTCCTTCTAGCCATTCAGCTTAACTGATACTACAAGACTTATGCAAGTAAGGTGAACTGGTATTTATCATGAAAATTATTCCCTTCACATAATCCACCCCCAGTCCTCATGGGGTTACCTCAAAATGCACCCCCAGTCCTCATGGGATTATCTCAAAATTTGAATTGTTGCTCTTAATGGGGTACAAATTCAAAACTGAATGTTTGCAACTTCCCTGACTTAGCTATTTGTTACAATTAAGGGTTCACCATTCGTCATTGGCAGCCATTTCTCCATGTATGAAGCCATTGTGCAATGGGGCATACCTAGAATGATTTCTCTAAGTTAGTACCCTAGAATGTTGAGTTAAGTGGCGTCAAATGAGAATGTATTCCAAACAATTGGTATAAATAATTATGGGGGTTTGCTCCTGTAGAAAGTCTAGAATCCCAGAATCAATTGAAACTGTGATATTTTGGATGAAATCTTGTTATATTCATATTTATTTACCTATAGAGAAAATATTTTAATTCTCCTCATAAGAAGTGCTTTTCTCCGAGCTCATATTATGATCTGAAATGATTGCGATCACAGTTTATATTTGTGAAATATAAGTTTTGTGCCTTTCTAAATAGAAAAATTGACTATTCCTATGTTATTTGGTCTATCCATGTGTGTAATTTGAAATCACTGCAGCCATATTGTATATTTAAGGAATATATGAGTTATTTCATTTATAAATAGAAACTTGACTCTTCCTACCATACTACTTGACGATTCCTAATACCCGTCTTGACTATTTCTTCAAATTCACCAACAAATATCTTTTTTCTGAGTGAAAGTAAAGAAGTTCCATCACATTTATAGCTGCATTTGCTGTTTTTTATGTAAATTTTGGCTTTTTCCCTGCTTTCTAGGAATCTTTTTTCATGTGCTGAAATTTTGAGATTTGCAAATGGTTGCCATCTTTTGCTATGTGTCAGTATGCCTTAAGGAAATGCGACTAGCTACTGATGACGAAATTTGCGTGATTCTGGTTTGCTTTTAAAGTAATCAAAACGATGGGGGGGACCAATTTATCAGCTGACAATGTCGTATCTGAACTACTTGACATGGGTTTTGAGTTTGGTAAAGTATTAGAAGCTTTAGAAGCCGTTGGTCCAGTTCTAAATGATGCTGTAGACTTCATTTTGAATGATTGTAGCAACAAAAATGCATATACGAAGTCACAACAGGCCTTCACCTGTTCCAAAACTCCAAATTGCTCCTTGGAGGAAGATGAAAACTCGTCACAATCACTGTGTAGGATGAAGCAGTCCCATATCACAGATCTTCTTCCATCTTTTTCTAGATGTAAAAGGGACATTTTTGAAAGTTCGTCAAAGTCTTCATTTGATGCCATAGAGATGGCTATGTCTAGGTTCCTAGATGAGGAAGAGCAAATTAATGTTGATGGAAAAAATCAACATAAAACTGAACCTTTTCCATCTTGGATGGATGCTCACTCTTATACGCTTCCGAAGGAGTTTTTGCAACAAAATGGAAACTTTCAGCATCAACAAATTCCACAGTTTAATAACACAGATGGCCAAGGCATGATGATGAACTGGGAACAAAAAGTTGGCGATGCCTTACAAAAGCATTTTGGATTTTCTTCCTTGAAGGGCTTTCAGAAGGAAGCCATCAAGGCATGGTTAGCACACAAGGACTGTCTTATTGTTGCTGCTACTGGCTCAGGTATCTCTTGTTTACTTCTACATACATTAACATTAGTTGTTGCTCCACTTATTTCATTTTGGAACTGACTACATATTGCAAGTTAATTAGGATAAATTTTGATTTCACTGCACCATTCATTGTGCAGGGAAATCCCTCTGCTTTCAGATTCCAGCGCTATTATCCGGAAAGGTGGTTGTTGTGATTTCACCCTTGATAAGTTTGATGCATGATCAATGTTTAAAACTTTCAAAACATGGGATATCAGCATGCTTTCTAGGATCCGGACAACCTGACACCACAGTTGAGCAGAAAGCCATGAATGGGGTGTATAGAATAGTTTACGTCTGCCCAGAGACAGTCTTAAGGTTGAAGCTTAGTTCTTCTGCCCTTTTTTTCTTTTTAATTGTAAATTATTGCTGATCGTTTGCTCATTAACTGTTTTTCCTCTGGCAGAATTTTAGAACCACTGAAGAGGCTTGCAGCAAATAATATGATAGCACTTTTTGCCATTGATGAAGTTCATTGTGTTTCTAAGTGGGGTCATGACTTCCGCCCTGATTACAGGTTTGTTGTTCATCATGGCTAAAACTTTTAACTTTGCTTACCTCTATTTTGCAAGTAGCAATTTTCTAGCATTTGTAGAATTCTATGGGGTGATTGTATTCTTCTTTTGTGATGTATATTTGTTATATTATAGATCGTGGATTATATTAAAAAAAAAAAAGATCGTGGATTATATTAAGATCTGTTGTGTTCTTATTAGGCGGTTGTCTGTGCTAAGAGAAAACTTCGTGGCCTCTCATATCCAGTCACTGAGATTTGATATTCCGCTGATGGCATTAACTGCTACTGCAACTCTTGATGTTCGAGAAGATGTTATAGAATCACTGCACATGTCCAGAGAAACAAAAATTGTTCTGACTTCTTTTTTCAGACCAAATCTGCGGTTTTCTGTAAGTTCTTAAACTGCAGGCTTGCAGCAATAGATATTTTGCATGAAATACTGGAACTCATAAATACTTCCGGAGTAGAACCTCTTTTTTTTAAAAAAAAAAAATTTAACTCAAATGCGCATTCTGTTTATTGTGCTATTCTCTAATTTTTCTGTTGTTAAATACATTTATACCGTGTAGAAATTGGTTTAGTTTAGTTTAGTCATTTTTTGGTGGAAATGCTTGCACGCTTTTGACATTTATCCGCAACAGTTATGTGATTGATGGATCGTAGAATTATAAACAAGAGAAGTGATGGAAATGGAAATGAATTGTAAAGACTCAAGAGGATAGGCTAACAACTCTCATATCTCTCGTAAGTATATAATGGATGATTGTACCATGGAACTGCATTTGATCACAAAGGAAGAATAGTCATGGGCGATGTGATGCACCTGTAGATCTAGGGTGAGCGCTATAAAGCCTTAGTTATGTTATCTTCAGCAGCCTGGGCTTTTGAAGGAGTTGTGCTTTTGTAAAGTGGTCCTCTTTGTCACGACCAAACCCGGTTAACTCGTGTAGACGAGGTGGGAACGGAATCGGACGTTCAGAACATTACGATTTTCTTAAATCATGCTTTTAATAAATCTAAAAGACTTCACAATTCACTAAAAGCGTCTCTTAAATTTTGTCCAAGCATATATTTAACACTTCAAGTCATAACAAAAGAGAATTCATTTACACATGGTGGTTACAAAATTAAACAATTCATGCCAAAACCACCCAAAAGGGAATTTAACTATAACCAATAAAACATCAAAAGAACCTGTCAACCGGTACACGACAGCTGTAGGTGAACCTTAGGTTGTCAGCCATTTCTTGCAGTTGGTTCTCCTGAAAAGTATCCCAACACGAGGGAGTGAGCTAACACTCAATAAGAATTCTCTAATCCTAACATTTTCACATGTCTTTGAAATGAAAATTCACATTATATGATAATGATGAAATGCCTTGATTATTTTTCTACACATGCTAGTTTTCATATGTCTTATGAATGTTAAGTGTTTTATGTATGCCATATGCATATGCCTTATGTATGTCAGGTGATAAATGTCATAGCTTATGTATGTCATAACATAGGTATATTATATGTTTATTTATATTTTATCATATACAACTGTACCGGAGTATCATGAGTGTACTGATTAGGTACACAAACATCTTTTTGGCCATTTATTTATTTTCCTCTTGTGCCCTAAAGGGTCATATTGTTCCGTATTGCTCATAATCGTGCTTTCGCACCATATTTGGTACTCCGCTTTCAACATGCACAATCAATTTCATACTCTTTCCATATAGGCATATGAATGTAATCTCTTTCCATATATCATTATTTATCTTAAACATGAAGTAAATGAATGCTTAGTGTTAAAAATAAACAATGCATTTGTTATGTGTCAAAACAACTAAAAATTTCACTTGTCATGTGTCAATTAAGTAAAACCAAGATTTTAAAAGGCGAAATCGGGAATCGAGGCGTTTTTTTCTAAGCGAGGCGAGGTGTAAGCCTCGAGGCGGATCGAGGCGTAAGCCTCAAAACGATTAAAATAAATTAATTTAAAATTTTAAATAATGACAAAAAATAACAAAATATTATGTCAACTATGAATTTGAAGATTTGTTTTAAGATAATATTACTGGAATACAATATTTAAAATAAACTCACTTAAAAATAAAATATTCCCTTAGGATCAAGACCCAAAGCAGGCTCATCATCACTTTGATTGTCTTCAGAAGAATCTTCATAATTAAAGTAAAATTCATCCTCAACCTCTTCTTCATCTATA